GGGCCCCTTTACACTGGACGGCGTCCTTTCTGCGTCCAGCAGCACGGCCCCATTTGAGAGTTAAAAAATTATAATATTTTACCTGCCGACAACTGGCCAATCATTGAGCGTTCTTCTGATACAAAATCAGTGCTCGTGCTTCCTTATTAAGACCACAGCGATGCCAAATTTCATGGTCGCAGAGAGGACGCAGAAAGGACGCCGTCCAGTGTAAAGGGGGTATAAGAGATTGTTAGTAAGACATATTTTTCAAAGGGATAACAACTGTTCATTTTGGCCAAAAAAAATGAATTTTCCTGGGGTAAAGGACAATTTTCCAATTACTTACCAATGGTATATGAATCCATTCCAATATTCAAAATAAGTCCCTGTTTTTTTTTCTAAAAAAAGTTTGGTTTTTTGTAATAATCTCTTAAGAGATTATTACAGAGTGTAGCCATCTATGGAGGTCACGTGATGTGATGGCAAGCACAAATTCCAAAATAATTTGTGTTAACTGCCGTTTTGGGGGTAAAATAGAATTTATTGTATTTCTATGAGTTATTTACAATGTATTTATTGTGAAATATGGATATCTTAGGAACGGTTGTTATCCCTTTAACAATGGGTTTTTCTGCAACTCAGGAGGAAATGATGCAACAACAGGCAGTTTGTCTTTGCAATCTTTGAGTATTTCAATCGACCACAGGCGCACTGCCTTTGCATAATGTTGCTTTTTAGGGTCCAAAAAGTCTACCTTTTAGAAAAATGAGAAATAAATAAATATGCTTTATTCATACTTTCTGCACCAGACTGAGCTTGTGAAAATGTACAGAGATATAATAGCAACAATGATAATGATGATAATTATAATAAAATAAATATGCTTTAACCTTAATTAGGTGTTGTTTAATCGTATCCCATATGGAACCATATGTCATTATATAGTTTCACCACTTTGGAATAAACAAAAACACCGTTTCAAACGGTTTACAGCTGTGGTGTGATTAATTGTAAACAAAAACACATGGACTTGAGTGTGTGACAATTTTCTGATCAAGAATGTATACAATCACATTGAGATCCTTCCTTTCAAAAATACTTTTTTCATATCTCACCTCTGATTACCTTGAGTTATGTCAAAAAGATTTATGTTGCTTTTGTGTCGTGTGACGAACCGTTTGTCTAAAATATCAAGAGGATTGATATCAATAAATCACTACTGTCATCGCAAAAAAATCAAAGCAAGTGTAGGTAGAATAAAAATTGATTAATATTTTGCCCCGAACCCACTGCCTTCTTTCTTTATTGCTTTCATGTCCTCTAGCACAGAATTAAATACCTGCCTAGGATACCAAATAAAAGCAACTTACTCGAGAATTGCAATATAATGCACGCCTTAATTACCATAATCCGATGAAGGTCTGTGTAACATTTCGATATCTGAGATAAAAGACTGGCAAAAACAGATTTTGATAACTATGAGGAAAGGCGCTGTGTAGGCATGAATCACAAGTGCAGCAATACATAAACAGGACTCTGCTGCAGGAAAAACAAGATTACAAGATGTTCAGCGGCGACCTGCTCCCTGATTAAAGAAAAAGAAAACGAGGCCCAGTCTGAGGTAATTTTAGCAGCTTTTGCCAAAACCTATTTGAGGCATAAATTGTTTTGCAAAACAGAGACCAAAAGACTTGTCAGAGACATATATAGACACTGAACTGAGTTGCCTTTATGACAGGAATGGTAGTCTGCTAGGAACTGTGGTCCGTTTCCCATTACCCTGTACAAGTGACATTTGTCCCATATTCTAATCCTAATACCCCCAATGCCCCTAACCTATGCTAATATTAATCATGTGGGACCCTGCACTTCCAGAGAGCTAACATTCTTGTCACACCGGTCTAGTGAGGTTTGTGACAGTAGGGGCCGGTGTCACGAAACTGAGGGTCAGTGTGACAGAAAGTCCGCCCTTCATATAGTTATAATGGTTAGGGTTAGTCTGACCCAAGTGGGTCAAAATCTAAGGCGAGGCTCACCTGTACAAAGTAATGGGAAGCGGACTCTCTGTCGCGGGGCACTTTCTGGTACGTGACTGTAATCTATTTCTCATTATGAAGTCCTATCAATATGCAACAGTAGATTAGGCTAATAAATACGACAAAAAAAAAAAAAAAAAAAAAAAAAAAAAAAAAAAAAAAAAAAAAAAAAAAAAAAAAACAGAAGCTTGCGAAATTGTAGTTGTAGGTAAGTATGCTTAGATACTGGTCTTATTCCCGTGGGTTCGAATCCAAAGCAAAGGCTCTGTCTTCCATTTTTTTCGCCTGAAAAACACAGCCAAACGCCACAGCACAAGTAATTCGTCCTACTACTTAATGTTTGGAAGATAAGACATCAAGTATCCGATCTACCAGATCTACAAGATCGCAATAAATAAATAAATAAATGAAAATAAATAAAAATATAATAATAAAAATATAATAAAACACATGACATCGCCAAATATGAAAAAATATTGCGCTACTAGTTAGTCAGTATTACGTTTCATATACGCTTCCCATACGCTGCATTTATCAAACCACCGAATTAGAAAATTAGCTGTTACGTATATTTATCGTCAGTCTAGCTTATTTGCCGTATGCCTAGCGTATTCCTAACGTATGCGTAACATACGGGTAACGTACGACTCCTTCTGCGTAAATAAGCGAACACCAACGTCTGCATGTATATGCAAACCGTATAACGGCGTAAAACAACGAACTCACTGTGTTTGTCTGCGTATTTCATATGTTAGTGTAACACGCTGTAGTGTGAGAGTGCCTCATATTTTGGTTCGTTTAGGTAACGTTAAGGTTATGATATTGAACTTAAAACACGAAATACAGTTCATTATTGGCATTGACAACACTTAAATAAATTCCATTTTTTTAATTAAACCATAATAATGGTGGGCTGTTAACTGGATCGGTTCCAATCGGTGTTGTAAAAGAGCTATCCCCATCTTGTCCAACTGGCAGAGCTATGATGGTAGTGTGATAATGGTGCTATATTTATACCACAGACTATAAATCGATGGGATACGTTTTCCAAACGCTAATCACGCGTTCGGCATACGTAAAATAGGCTAATCGATGGTTACAAATACGATCAATACGTTACTCGTTCGCAACTACTGCGTTACTACGCAAAGCTATATTGGTCACTGTATGAGAAACAGACTTTATTGTAATTTTAATGTTATTCTACTGCATGCATTACGTATCCCTTTTGCTAACGTATGGATAACGAAGACTCAAACGCTCGCAAAAGCTGAAAATTTATGAACATTATCAAAATATTCTATCCTCTTCTGCGTATGCGGGCGTACACCAACGTTTACCTTTATACTAGAAACGAATCTCTCATGTTTGTCTGCGTATGTGTAAATTTTCCAGTACGTTGGTGCTATACGCTATGTGTAACAGGGCCTTATAAGGTACTGTCACACTGAGCGAATAACATTGACGTATGAGAGAAATTGCCCAATTGCAAGCGGTTCGTTAGACTTAGGCATACGCCGTATACGTCGCATGTACGAAGACAAACGTTGGTGTACGTTCGCATACGAAGAGGGAGATAAAATGATATGAGCACGAACAAAAACCAATTTAATAGGCTGCTTATACAGGAATGTCCACTTTCATACGCTGGAAAAAGGTTGCTTTCATACACTCATAGATGCACGTATCGGTTTGACATACGATACTCATACAAGTACATACAGGTACCCATTTACGCCAGGTGTAACAGAGCTCTTACACCGGGCTTGTCACCTCTTGGCGAACGAATTTTGTTCTCAAAGCAGTTGCAAGTTCAGTATCACCGGGGCGTAAGCGTGAAAGTTTTTGTCACAACTGAGAGTGATAACCAATGACAAGACATGACTGTTCGCTCAGGGTGCCTTGGTTAAAAACAAACTAAACAACCCTAAATGTTATAAGTGAATTGTACCTTATCTGCTCAAATTTTAGTGGTCTTTGCGGGAACTAATTTTGTATTTTGGTCGTTTTGTGCATTATATTTTCGCCTCCCCTCTTTCAAACAAATTGCCATTAAAATGGCAAAAGAATTTTGTTTAATTTCTCATTTAGCTTAGGGGACATAACCTTCTGTCGACAAAATATCGATCATATTAGCCGATTCATGGAATTGTTGTCCTCTCTTCAATTTGGCTCCTTTCATATGGTTTCAGGAATAAGTGATCTGAGGACTAATTTGTCCTCTCATTCTTTGGAAGTCTATTTCAATCAAAGCTAGAATATGTCGCCCTGAGCATCAGAGCTTGGCTATTGAAACGTTATTAATGTCAATGGAAATCATCTTGAGGCAGCTGAAAACGAGGCTGTGGGCATTGCATGGCGTCATACGAGACTCGGAAACGTGCGAGAATCGGCGTGAGGTGGGATTAACTTGTTAGGAATACGAAATGTTGTTTAGTAAAATGCAAAGCATGGTGAATATATGCTTTGGTGTTCAAATGCGTCTAATTATACGTATAAAACGCAAGCGAAAACATGCCAGAAAATATCCTTAGATAAATTCTGTCAGCTTTCATTCGCCGCCGCACCTCAATCATTGTCTTTGTCATTATTTCTGATCCCAACTCCAAATCCCGCGAGATCCCACCTGACTTTACGCTAAATTGCGATACTTTGGGCTATTTCGGGTGATCCCTGTTCCGACCGCAGTGCATCGGATTCAAGTTTTTAACTACAATATTTTACATGGATAGAGTCGACATCAAAAGCTTATTGAATAGAATACTAGTACACTGGGAATTTAATAACATTTCACAAATTCACATAATGAAATGTATCATGCCGATCTTTTTGATCGGCAATTTGATGAAAACAGTTCTCGTCTTCTTAAATAACCTGTGTTTCTGCCAAAACGGTTTATACTAAAACTGTCCTTCCAATTTTATACACTGTAGAATGATAACAGGTTTCAAAAAAGATTTATATGTTTAGACTGACATAAGGATGAAACAAGGCAGCAAAGCTGTCAAATGTACATACAAAAAGCAGAAAATAATAATGCAAAAAATAGGATACTGTTATGCTTAATTGCATAGTCAACAACAAATTTTAATTATGCACAGCAGGTAATACCGATGAAAGTAAAAGCATAAGGCTTCAGGCTCATGAGAGTTCAAGTTTATACCTAGAAAATGCCAGAATGAGAAAAATGAAAATTTCACCAAAATTGCATAAATTCAATTAAAAAAATGATAATCCAATATAGCTGTCACACCTTGAAAATGCCAAAATGTAAACAAGAAATAACAGTACTGTAATGGGTTTATTTCCAGTTTCAACACCTTTTTCACATAAAATAATCAATTTCCAGTCATTTTATAGGATCAACTAAGAAAATGGTTGACATACGAAAAATATCAGAAAAACAATTTAAAATGTCCAATTGGCTCCATTCTGAGATTCTGAACATAGCGAATGATTCATTCTGACAAACTGCAATGATATGAGTTTATTTTCATTTTTGACACTTTATTACACAATAAAGGATAACAGGTTTACCATCATTTTTATATCTAATTAGTTCAATAATGAGACTGTTAACATGCCTAACAATTAAATCTGAAGAAAAACCACTTATATGTAAAAAAGGCATAACTTCATCAAAACTTAACCGATTAAGCTTATTTTCGAACTGGATCTGCATATTCGTCAGACTGATCACTCCTATGAGTTGCAAGACAATAGGCTGACACATCTGTGTCTGTACATAAAAATAATTGATTAACAATATGATTTAAAACTGCTTTTCGTCACAAAAGCATGTCTTTAGACCACCCTTATACCATGGCCGCAATGACGGATTTGCATGACATTACCGGTACATGCACTTGTTTTCATCTTACAGGTTTGTGACTAGTTTTTCAATCATCTCTCCTGCATACCCGAACACCAAAACTTAGTTTGAATGGTTCACGTTTTCCTGGTTATGTTATACACAGTAGGCCTGTAAGCGAATAATTAAAAAGTTTACCATGTGTGAATTCTGCAGGGGAATTAACTGTGCTCTGTTGGATAATAAATGAACCAGAATCAGCTCAAAAATCTTTTTCAGCATTCTTATTTCAACACCAGTCGTTCATTTACTGGCCGAAAAAGGCTACTGCCTCTCGTGAGACCAATTAACCCACTGAAAATCTCACGAGTGTGCGTCAGCGAATAATTATACAGGTTTGATATTAGTCTCATGGCCTAAGGAATTAATGAGACCTTGTGTATAAATTGGGTGTTGTGAGTTTGCACCTTTAATTTTAAAGCAATTAATTTTAATTAAATGTGGTATTGGTTTACCAGTGAGGATGACAATGACAATCTTTGAGCTGAATGACAATCTTTGAGACATTTTGCTTTTTGTAATATGCAGCTAAATGTTTCACCTCGTATGACCCATTGACCATCAAATAATACCGTGGCTTCTTTTCAGTTTAAATCGCCTAGCAATTTACACGGCACAGTCATCGGAAGCTGACTTTGGCTTAGCAGTCTAATCGTTCGTGTAACGCTCTTATGCCGATATCGATTTACAAAGTTGGCTATCATATTTTAGCAGTTTACTTTGACTCAAAAAAGGCCTTTTCACATTTAACTGTATTTTTTTTTATAAAAGACTATTTTTGTCTGTTTCGGGAATAATACATATTTACTCTGAAACTAACGGTATTATCTTATAAACATATTGATTTATACTTGTAGAATATAATGAATAGATAAAAAAAAACAAAACAAAACAAAAAAAAAACAAAAAAAAACAAAAACACTCTCGATTGTTAAGTCGGGTACAAAAGAATCGTCGGTATGTTTTCCTGCCCCCCCCCCCGCCCCCCANCATAATGCCCACACTCATTTAAGTTCACTAGAGCTTGTTGATTTCATTTCCTTTCCACTGGTAGCAGCTGACTCTTCTTCACCCTGAGTTTAAGAGAACACTGAAAACTTTCCTCCCTACTATCAGCATGCTTCTGTCAATACTGGAAATGACTGAGGCATGCTGATTGTAGAAAGTAGAGTTTCTAGTGTCCTCTGAAATTCAGGGAAATTCTAGTCAGGTACACATCCAAAAAAGCTATTTACCACAGTGAAAAATCCAACCTGAACAACTAATGGGCTGAGCATTTATTTTCAAATGACATTGGCATATTTATTAAGAAAAAGAAAAATGCCATCACCTCATACCTGGAGGTTTCAAATCTTTTTCAGTGAACCATGAACCTTTCCCCATGGCATCAAGAGCATCCTGCTGACTGTCTGCCATCACATCCATCTCTTCTGAAGCTGCTCCCTGTGCACTGGGGACAGCTGATGAGGACCTGGTGGTTCTGCCTGTTCTCAGCACTGGTGGTTGTGGAACAGTCATGTTGCTGATGGGTTTATCAACATCCATTGTGAAATCAGTACCTGAATCAGTGCTGGAACGAGTTTTTCTGATGTCTTTGGCTTCCTAATAAACATATTAATACTAGGCTTAAAGATGCCTTATAGCCAAAAAGGAGACATTGTAATGGTCTAGACAGATATACCAGATATGGTTAATTACTAATAAAATGAAATACTGATATGCCATACCCATTTTAAACTTGGTTTGACTAAGGAGGATTTGTATGAAATCATTATTGCATATAACTTAATCTTCACCTGTGTTACCGAGCGTCTTGCTTTCAGTTCAATTGCAGCTTGTATGGACGTCTTCCTAGCTCTGGTTCTCAGACCTTCCATTTTTACTGCCAGAGATTCCTTAGAGTCCAACTTTTGTTTCTTGCCATGTCTCTGGCCCGACTCTGAAAAATTGGAAAGGAATCCTAGTTTAGAGGATAAAAACATCAGAATATTACCTTTTTCAACAGAGAATTTTCTACTGATAAATATGATATACATCAGTACACATTGACTGGGTTCCTGTGCCTAGATCAATCTAACTAGATCGACCCATCTCTAAGGGGTTTCTCGCTAAATTGCTTAGATGTCTGGCATGCCTACTGAAGCCGCTAAATGATAGTCAATTACCCTCTAACAGCTTCAGTGGGTGTGCGAGACATCTAAGCTGCTGAAGTTGATAGCAATTTAGTGAGAACCCCCTTGGAGATAGATCGATCCAAAGTTAGTACCATAGTCTCTGGGAATGGTCTCATTCATGCAAAAACTGCACCTTGATCAAGTGAAAGTGGTTTCATCTCTGTTAACTTCCACCATCCTGATTCCTTTAGCTCCAGTTGACCAGAGACAAAGTATTTAGGGCAGCCTGCAGACAGGGCACCAGCAACTGTACCATGCCAGGTTGACGTCTTCTTTCTTTAAAAAATTGTAAAATGTGTAGCTTTCACACTCATAGAAATAAAAGAACAATTAGAGAAGACATTTTGATACAATGAGATTCTCATAACACTCTAGTGTTAAATTAACTTTGGATAATACTGTTATGACACCACTTTGCCCTCTACTTTTGCAAATTTCAAATACAACTGAAATAACAAGAAGTTATGTCTTACTTTGAGGCATCAAATAAATGAATCCAGTGCTTATCAATAAAAGCACAAATATGTTCCTTCCAGCGGAAATAGCCACACTTTCCAGCTCCTTGTAACTGTAGATTGTACAGTGCCAGCACAACAACCTGGGTCCTAGAATCAAAATTACACATTCCATGCTATCATTGGACATACCCTTCATCAAATAACACACACCAACCAAACCTAACTCATCTTTTAATAAACTGTTCTATGCAACCATAAAATGCCTAATTCGTGGTCGTAAAAAATACACTTGTGAAATGACAAAATGTTAAAATTCTGCTCCTAGACATATCTACAAGATAAACAATATGGCATACCACTGCAGTTTCTGTCTGGTACATCTCTCCTCCCCAGTGTCACTGCATTCCTGACAAGTTAGGGCAAAGAAAGTATCTCCTTCAAGAGGGGTTGGTCTCCCTGTTTTAAGACACTCTGGAAATATTAAAGACAATATAAACTGATAAAAACAAAATTCATGAAAATGCTGACACTAATGTATTTTCATTATCAAAATCAGTTTTCAAAATGCCTATTCAAATGGAAATAACATCCTGAGAATTTAACATTAGAATAAAATGATTAAGTTTGTGGGGTATACTGCATACATAAGTATTCTGAAAGAGTTATCATGTTGCAAGTCCTAAAATGATGATGTTGTATATTTTTCAGGATTTACCAAAATGAAATTTCTTCTTGCATATTGTGCACTGTAGTACATGTTCTTGTAACTTGGATACATTTTCACCACAGTAGCAAGTGTCAGTCTTCATGATCGGATTAGCTCTGGAGCAGAAGAGAACACATATATATTTTTCAAATGTTGGTAAAACAATCCCATTATTTTAAACAACATCACCAGCAGTTTGTCTTGAAGAGGAGTACCCTTTACCTTGTTTATCACATTTTGACACTGGTCAGCAAAACAACACTTAGTTCATAATTTGGAAAGAGAGTAGTGCCCGAGTATTTAAAATATTATATGTCACAGACTTTTCATTAAGAAGCATTTACCCAACATGAAAACAAGCAAACAAACACATCATATGCTACTGAAGTCTATAGCTGCACGTACATATTGTGACACAAGCCTGTAGTCAGGTTGGAGGGAAGATGGAGGGGGGGGGGTTGCCTCAGGTAAGGCCTCATAACATCCTAAAACTCTCTTTCATGACTATGTGTGATGCCACTTACAAATGGTGTACTCAAGTGCTAACACTATCTGATGGAATAAAAAGAGTAAAATGTTATCCAACTGGTTCATGAACCGATATATAAATGACTTTATTTGTGAATGATATGCTTCACAGTGTAATGGAAGACACACAGAGAAACAAGAACCCCCTTTTTAAACTTACTGGCTACAGGCCTGGTATTTGTCGGTCATCTTTTGCATCCCTCACACCAAGTTTGACCCTACGTTTGTATTTACTTTATGTAACTGAGTGAGTGCCCCCCTCTTTCAGATTTTAAACTGGTGTTATTTGTCTAAATAGCTTTTAGCAGAGTGCTGGCCCAGGGGATTAATCTTAGGAGAAAAAGTTACACCGTTGACCTTGTTTACTTTTCCTTTTAGACTCTAATGTTACATTTTAACAGGGAGCATTGCAAAACCAAAATTAAGCCGGCTCAGCGCCAGTTTGTTCTATTCACTGATTCAGAGATTTATAATTATGCTACAAGTAAAATTTGTTTTAACTTGCCATGTAAATTCTAATCATCAAAATATGTCATCTATCTGTCTTAACGCCATCGGTTAATGCACTCTGTTGTGGGTATTTAAAAATACTAAAGAATAAAGCAATACAGCAGCGATCATCACAGAAGAAACATGAAAGCAGGGGTAATCCTAGAGAGGGGTAAGAAACGTCCATTGTTCTCGTCAGTGAGGCTAACCAAATTCAGGGTATGTACGCACAGACAGAAAACCATGTATTGTGGGAACGTTACCAATGAAGCCACTGGTAGTACTAGAAGATATCAGTCTGTAGTCTTGAACAGGCACCTCGATGACCAGTGAACAGTTGTCAAAAACAAAAGACCCAGGTGTGGTAAATCGACTACTGTTCATGCGTGCCGCAAAGACCAAGCCTTATTGCCCCTCAAGGTCACAAACCAATATCCGGTACTGACGGTTAGACTCGTCATAATCATATAAGTAGCGCGTTTCCACCTCCTGATGAAAGTGTCTGATTTTGCAGGGGGCTGCCATATTGTTTACCGTTTTCTCTCGTCCACTCAAACGAGAAGAAACATGGGAGGTCAACAGGTGGGCTGAGCTTCCTGGTTGCAGTTTCTTATTAAATTTTAATCATTTGAAGTACTTTGAAAGATAATTTGAATGCTTAAACAGTTTATTGAATATTCTTTTGAATAGTTTTTGTAATAGAGAGTGAATGGCAGAGTGTGCAGCAAATTTATCCAGATCTAAAATGCGGTACTAAATACAGCAGTTACTACAATGTCTACATGTATTTTACCCAAGTTTACGGTCTTAAGATCTCTAATATTACCTCAGTCTTCTGCTAACGGTACCATTACCGCAGACAACGGTTTCATAGCGCTACGGTAAGGGTACCATTAGCATGTAAGGCTGAAACTGAGGTAAAGTACTACTGAGTTTTCTAGTAGTAACCATACTACAATTTACTATACTAAATAATACATGTACTGTACTGTACTTGTATGTTTGTACTCATCGTGACTGGGTAACTAAGTTTTGCTGCCAAGTTGAAATACTGTACTTGTTAGAAAGATGCTTTTGCCAAATTCGCAATTTTCTTGAATCTTGAATAATCTTAGCTTAAATAAATGGACATGAATTTGAAGTCGAAATTCCAAGCTACTAGTACTGTAATTGAACATAATTTATTTATCCTAGTTTCACTTTACAAATACTGCTTTGTGACTAGCTGAGGATGAGGATATCCTGCATGGTGTAGTTGAAAGTATGTTCTCATGATATCCCTGTATGGATGAACCCATACTACGAACATTAACGAAATGAAAAGAAAATGGAAACATTCAATATGTGGATGCTCATTATTTTTCACTTTTATAGTCCAAATACTGAGGCAACATATATGTACGTAATTTAGGCACTATTGACTTACTTATATACTCTAGCTGTATCATATACTTTATCTCCACAATGTTCATATATCATATATGACTTTTGGTTAAAATTAACAATAAGTAAATTAAACCTTCATTTTTATATTCCTAATTAATTTTTTTTCAGATTGATGAAACTAGTGAATTACACTGCTGAGAAGATTACAATATGTGGAAGAACTCCAGAAGCTAGTCAATGGAATCTGCATGTGTGGTTGAATAGAATAACCCAAAGAAATAGTAGAAAGTAGTAAACAAACATGCCGTATCTCATTACATAGTCATGTAGCTACAGTGAGAAGAAACAAGCATAAAATTATAATAACTTACAAGAAATTCAACAAAATTAAATTATACAAACACCTGGGGTAAAAAAAATGGCTGGAGTCAGTATACCTCCAGGGACAATGCCATATTTCTGGGGGAGAATCACCCGTGAAGAAGCCACCACAGTTCTAAGGCAGGCAGGCTGCAGAGATGGCATGTACCTTCTGCGAGAGAGTGTAAATAAACATGGGAATTATGCACTGTCTTTGTGTTTCCGTGATGAGTGAGTAGTAGTGAAGTATATTTTTCTTGTAAAAAAACTTCCAAATCACTAATAGAACTGAATACACAATATTGAAAAGCATGTTGCCTCAACCTGATGCTTTAATATGATATTGCTATTTTATAATGTTTGAAATGGCTTGTATTGTGCAGCATGTTGTCATTATTACATGTAAGTTCATGTAACATACCTTGTCAAGTAAGATTTGCTGCAGCTTCAGCTTTTTTATTTTTATTTATTTATTTATTTATTTATTTATTTATTTATTTATTTATTTATTTATTTTGTAATTGAGCAGATTTCAGACAGAGGCTTGTAAAGTGATGACATGGAGGTGTTTTGTCTGCCTTACATTAAGTTAAAATTGATCTTGTAAATGTGTTTAGAAACACTCTTTGAAATAGGTGGGAATTGTAGATTTGACATTGAACTTATAAGAGAAAAATGTTGAAAATGTCGGAATATGGTGTAATACTTTTTGTCAACTTACTAGTACTAGGTTATAATAGCATTTGATAGTATATGAACTAGCACACTTCTTATGACTTCCACTGTATCTGCAAAAAAGTTACCATAATTGAAACTAAAACCCCTACTGAACTGTCTCCTGTTAAGTGATTTCAGTGTAGCCATACTTTCTTATCTCATTTTTTTTTTTCATGTAGGGTTCACCATTACAACATAGAACGTCAGCTTGACGGGAAATATCAGATT